ATAAATCAAAGCAATTGAACGACGAAGAAATACTTCTTTCTCGTTTGGATAAATTCAAGTGTGTCAAACAAATATTACTGGCAAGGGAAGGTCGGTCCATGTTTGGTAACCATTTTTTTAATTTTTCTATTTTTTTTTTCTCATTTTCAACCATATATTTTTACAAATAAAAAAACACTGTTCATGTAAATTCAAAAAAAAAATAATCCTACTTTTTAACCAGATATTCTCCACAAAATTACGATTCAAAAACTCGTTTTTCCAAATAAGTGATTGTCAAACAGAAGATTAATCATGGGAATTATTTTTGAGAGATGCTACGTGTACACTCTGGTGTACAACATTGTTGACACTCCTCTCACAATATGGGCGGGTCTCGGCATAAATAAAATAATAATGGGACCCACTATGTGAGAGGAGTGTAAAAGTGAGTGTACACTTGTCATTTCTCTTTATTTTAATGGTCGAACTAATCCAAATATCTGAACGATAGCGAACTAATGGTTCTTGATCATTGGTTTTTTATTTGAGAGTTATTCCATAATCCATATATGCTTCAACGATAAGAAAAACTTGTGTGTTAATAATGTCTAGACACGAGTCCTAACAATTTTCTTAATAGATTATATACTAGAGAATTTTTGTATATTATTGATTCCACTTTGTGGGTTTTTCCTAATCCTTTAAAACAAAGGTCCACACAAATTTTCCAAATATTGGGGATAAAATCTTCTACTTAATTGACAATTTAAGAATCTTTGAAGACTTGTCTTTTCTAGAGCATGGAAGTGTTTATTCTTGATTTAAAAAAAACATATAAGTGAGTCATTGATAAGTAAATTGCGCTAGTGGATTCTCGAGACACGCGTAGTTAAAAAATAGGTATAATTGCAGCCAGTCCCTATCCTTTCAAAATTTTGTATCATAACATTTCGTTTATTATACTCATCGTCCCAAACTTTTCATTCCCGTGTGATGGAAGCAAATTTCATCTGTTAATTGATAAAAAAAATTGTCTTTGACCTATTTTGACTTTTAAAAGACTAAAATGGTAACCTTTTATTTTGGTAAATTATTTATTTTCTTTATTTTTCTATTTTTTATTTAATTATTTTATGTGAAAAAATTTAAGCCCTCGTCCACCCTCATTATTTGAAATTTAATGGATTATTTGAAATTTAATGGTTGGAACAATAATTTTTTAAAAAATATGTAATTAGTAAAGAAAAAAGGGTTTTGAAATTACGTGTAATATTATTTTATTCGTGAATAGGTGGTTGATAAGAAGTGAAAGAAAAATAAATTTTAATTTTAATGGAGATCAAATAGGGGCTAAATCTAAGCACATAAGATAAACTTTTGAGGAGAATAGATGGTCATCTATGTATGAAGAAATTTGTGTTGAAAATAGAAAGTCGAATTACAAATATTGAAAAAAAAAGAACTCTTCTTAAATTCAAATTCGAACATATCATAACAATTGGTCACAATATTCAAATTTAGAAATCCAAAAGAGAGAATCTAAAATACTGTATTTATTCTCCTACTTAAGCAATGGCATGTACTCAAAAGAAAGTTTAAAAACAAATAAAAGTATACTTATTCTAAATTCAAACAATTCCACAACACAACTAAGGGCTTGTTTGGGATTGCTTAAAAATTGGATTAAAAGTCATTTTTTGAGAGTTACGTGGTCAAACGGTAACTATTTCAAAGAAAACTGCAGAATTCGTGTCACACGTGTCAGAAGGTAACAGACAAAAAATCAATTTCTCATTTTCAAAATATGGACCAGATAGGTTCTAACGTAGTTCAAAATCTCGTAAGCAACAATCAATTTCATTTTTTCTAAAATTAAAAAAAGAAAC